AGAAGGGAGTTCCCCAGCCTGTAGGTATGGTGCTGGTTCTTCGCTTTTTCCCAGATATTTTTCTGCCTCACTTTCTGAGCTATCACCCAACTGACATATCCTGAGAGATCTTTATTTGCTTCTTTCCTTTTAACAGGTAGATGGATGTAGATTGTGGACCCAGTTATACCCCCTTCTAAATTTTACTTGATCTAGTCAGCTTTCAAAGTGAGAAGAAACCTGAAATTCTGCTTCAGTTTAAAGGAAATATGACATACAGTTTGTAGTCTGGCTTCAGCCTGTCCCCACTCAAAGTGAAGAATATCATTGGTCTTGTCTGAATAAAGAACATACTGTAGATCAGCAAGTGAATAAAAATCAATTCACTTTATTTAGCGTAATTTGATCACAATTTGCCTAATTATTTGACTGACTTAGCTCTTGCTGTCGCAAATACATGCACAATATGTTACAATGGGTCAATTTTAAATGCTTACAGTTAAAATTCCATGTGTAATCCTTCTGGGATGAGGCTTTAAAGCTTAATCCAAAATCCACTGGCGTTCATGAAAGTCTCATTCCCTATTTTTACACTTACCATTTCATTTTTTAATTATATTCTTTGATTAAAAACAAATGTATACATATTCAGCATCAAAACTCCTTGTGGAGTTTTCATGTATTTAAGCTTTAAAGTTTGATTCACTATACTAGTTTGCCTGCTAGGTCAAAAATAATCCTTTGTTTTCTTTGCATATATTTTTAGAGCTGGATATACATAAAAAGGCAAAAGTTGTTGATCAAAACTTTTACTTTAATGGTGACTGCCATGACAAAGCAGTACAAGGCATGCTAATAGGGCACTTGGAATATTTTCAGAGGAAAACTTCAGCATACCAGTACTGTGAACCAAACAGAAATTCCAGCAGAAGGTGGAAAGGCTACTGCAATATAACGGTGTTCTGTGGAAGCACATGAGATGAAATAATTTCTTTGGGTTTTATCTTTTTTTACACAGTGCTTGTCTACACAATGGGATTAAATTCATTATTTAAGAGAACTTACCATTCATTGAAAAGAAATTGTACTGTTATTGCATTTTCTCTTATAATGTACTGTACAAATGTAATTACTGTATTTTTTTCTTTCACCTTTAGAGCTGAATGAAACTGAATTTTATACCATACGGGTTTTTTTTTCCTTTTTGGATCTGCTTCTAAATGTTAGGCTTCCTTTTATGCCTGCAAACTATTAAAACTCAGTCTTCTATTGCCAAATGGTATTATGGATACTAGTTGCATAATTTTGTTCATTTAATGGCATTCAGTTACATTTGTGAGCTGGTAGAAGACAAAATCCTACGGCATTGCCTTCTCTTCTTTTTTATACTTGTAATACAAAATGGGTGAGAGCTAATTTCGGGCCCCGTAGCCCCATCCTGCATAGGGAGGTTTGGGGAGTTGTGGTGGGAGGGGGGGGCTGATTCAGCCTGTGATAGCTCTAGCCAAAACTCCCTATGTGGCCTGCAGGCCCAAATAATTGCCCACCCCTGCAGTAGATTATTTATTATTTGGTATTTGTGGGGTTAGTAAATCACCATATATATTTTGTGTGTGTGTGTGTGTGTGTGTGCATGGTGTACGCTGCATATGTTTGCAAGTGTATGAATATGTTTCTCTTGTATTTAGAACCATTCACTCTAACTTTGTGATAATAGCTGGGAAAAATTGAATCATCAGTAAAACAGAATAACGAAACAGTTTTTCATTAAAAGAATGGAGGCATTTTTCCTCACCCTATTTTCATTCAAATTTTTGACCCATTATGCTTACTAATGGTCCCTATCATATCTATTGAATTTTGATGTTAAAAGTATGTAGTATCCTGTTCAGAGTGAAAATCAGTATTCATGTAATGGCCTAGATTTAGCATCCACTGTGCCACAAAGTAGTGAATGATGTTAACAGTTGTGTATATTTGTTAAACACATGTGACCACAACTCCAGCTATAGTTACATGGCATAGATCTCTCTATTAACCTCGAAGAGAAACTGCATTATTTCTAACGGGCAATTATTTCTACCCAAGATCGGTCCTCTTCTGCACTGCCATGTGTGATATACACTGTTACCTAACGTTTGTTTCCATGAACATACGCAATGCAGAAAGCCTATACCAGTTAGTTATGTTATACCTTCTTTGTAGACTGAAGTATAGCTTCAATGTGTTGGCACTTCAGTGCTTTGCCAGGGTGACCATGGAGAGTGCCAGGCATAGGTGGGCTGCCAGGCAAATGCCTCCCAATCCAAATTTTCCTGCTTTCCCTTCATTTTCTACTGGAACCTTACTTTGTTCCAGTGCCTGGGGTTTTGCTATGTAGTTTTGGGATGGAAAGTAGGTCACCGACCCTCTTGCTTTACTAGGGTGGTGTGGAGTAGCTCCTCCAAGTCTTGTGTTATAATATTATTTGTGGCCTGAAGCTCCTGGGGATGCTGAAGTTTGGGTGGCAGTGAAGGCAAGTTTTGTGGCCATGCCTATTGGCCAGCTTCCTGGCTAATGCATAACTAACCTGTCAGTTGACTTCATAGCATGGGTATTGAACTAGCTACAAGCCTGGAGCACAGTCACATCACAAGGTCAGAGTTGGGTCCCTGTGAGTCCAAACAATATGTGTGCATCTCTGAGTCACGCTAAGATGCCTTATGCTGGCCCAGCCCACTGTAGTAGAACCCAACCAGGGATTGGGTGCTAAGGGCAAAGATAGCCCTTTACATGTTAGAAACAGTTACAGTCTAGGAATATTTTAAAAGAAGCTTTATGATCTATCAAACCCATGATGTGCTTCCTAGCTGGGAGCATTTTTCAGAATTGCTGCTCTCTAGCAAGAGGCTGCTATATGGGGCTGTGGGGATCCATGGCTTTGCATCTTCCTTCCCTCTCCCCCCACAGGGCATGGGGAGCAGAGCTGACTGTCAGTACCAATCTGCAGCTCCTGTCTCTCAGGACTGCAGCTCTACTCCCATGCCTACCATGCAATAAAGGAATAAAGTAATTTAAATACAAAAGATAGGGAAAGAGGGGGGAGGAAGTGATAGGAGCAGGTTCTATTGCTGAAAAGGTGAAAAGTGAGTTGAAGAAATCAAAGAGGGTAAACAAAGCAGTTAACCTGTGGGCATAAGGGTTAAAAATAATCCAGGTAATGGAATAAGAATCCATAATCTCTGTTGAGACCATACTTTAACAAAATTCACATTGCAGAGGAATGTAGGCAGCCATGTTAGTCTGAAATTAGGTAGAAGGCAGGGTAGAGATGCACCTGTTTAACAACTAAATCATGGATGCATGAAAACTTCTACATCTCTGATTCAGTTAAGATAGAAAATGCACCTATCCTTCCTACAATCTGGTTTGTGCATGATTCCACATTCGAGTTGATTTTAAAAGGTTTTTTTCAGTTTTTTATTTTTAGTCTTTAGGAACAGCTACTCTGAGGTTAGTGGTGGAATATCCAGGGTGGTTAAAATGTACTGCCACAGACTTTTCTGTCTTTTTGGAATCAATGTCAAATCAGTGTCTATTCATTATTCCATGTAGGGATTGCACCATCTGTCCAGTGTAGGGCAATGTAAGCAGTAAGTAAGGGTAACATGAAGAAAGATATTGATAGGATGCTTGGAAATTTGTAAATACTGCAGTGTGGGACTTCTGTAGTAGTCTGTTCAAGTACCAGGAATCTTTCTGTCCAGGTGATTTGTATAATGGGAGGCTGCAGCCATTATACCTATTAGCCATAAAAAGCCCCTCTAAAAGAAAATTATTAGTAACTTTAGGTAATGCTTCTCTGTCTACTTTAAATTTTTTTCACATTCAATTACAGAATGACTATGTAAACTATAGTTCTGGTCATCTTTATCATTATTGTAAGTAATAAAACTCACATCTTTCATACGGAAAGCATCCAAGAACTGGTAAGCATAAGATTTTATTGATCAGAAAATTAATATTGGTTTTTCAACAATTAAATGAGTAATGTTTCATATTAAGAGTGAAAATGAAGCAAAACCAAAATAAGTTCACATTTTTTGTTTCAGTCTTACTCTATAAGCAATAAATACAATGCCATAGCTTCATTAATCTTATTTACATTGTACAATACTTGAATTTTGCCTAATTCCAAGCATAAATGTTTCATGGCATGTAATGATAACACAAAAGTATGTGTTGTAGCATTTCTACAGCCCAGTACTCACTATGAAAAAATAAAGAATGCCAAAAAGTGATAAGTTAACATTTACAAAAAATGGAATAAACTGAGATCCCCGTACAGACCTCGAACTAAGTGTTGTTTGTGGCAATTTGTTAAATGAAGGCAGTAGGATAAAAATAGACACATTCTATTATTTGAATATCCAGACATATAAAACTAACATCTTGATATTACAGATATCAAATATTACACAAGATTCTAAACAAGAGAGATTGAAAATACTCATCATACATACAAATGTGGAACTGCAGTGAGAAATGCTGTCCTGTTAAAAAGAGCTATTAAAAATGAACGATTGCCTCTTTTCCTTCAGAATATAAGTAAAAACTGCACAATGATTTGTCTCATGTGCTCTATAAGGTATGAAACAAAAAGCCACAAGGAAAATCAGCATAAGGATTTGATGTTTTGATTAAACATCACAGTAGAAAGAAATCCTGCTCTCAGCAGCTGAGTATGTAAGAGGGATATGGAAAGAAAAAGTAGGAAACCTGTTCTATAATGAAAGTGCCAGGTGGAAGATGTTCTACTTCAAACTAAGTGGGGAATACAGCTATATAGTATTTGGGGCACAATGCCCAGCAAGGGTTGTGTTTCATACAACCTTGCAAGGGCTACATGAATGTAAACTCTTTCCTAAAGAGAAGAGGGCACCTGACAGTACATTGTGTTTCTCCACTCAAACTGTTAGAATAACCCTTTTACCTAAAGCACTGTAGCTGTAGCCATCATCTCTTGCTTGTGCCATACAAATACAAAGCTCTCTAGTGAAATGACAGGGTACTGTTGGCACCCAGTCCTTTCTTCAGTAAAGCATGTGGAGTTGCACTAACTGAAATAAAACTGAGCTCTTCTAATTTAACTCTGAGATTACAACAGCTTTTCAGCTATCATTTATGATTTAATCATGATAGTCTATAGTCAGGCACTTTTGAATCAAGCATCAGGAAATATTATGTAAAGAAACCCTAAAGAAATTAAAAGGTTAAAAATGTGGAACTTGCTGTTTAGATTACACATGGGCATATGTCTTCCAAGATAATCAGGTGCCTAACTAACTCACATTTATTTTGACGATTGATTTAAGTGGGAGATAGGCCTTGGAGGATCTGGACCATGAACTTAAAGAGCAAGATCTTCAGTTCATGTAATTCTACATATTTCCACTGACTTGCAGAGAACTATGCTGATTTACAGCAGACGAGAATCTAATCCCATGCGTGAAGTTCACATCTGAGCAGGATGTCTACACTACTTAAGTTTTCTAGGAATTTCACTCAAACCAAATAATAATAAAAAAACGCTGTTCAAGCAATTTGGTCAGAAAGCAAACTGGTAAGCAGGTTGTATCCCTCACAATAGTAAATATTATGACACTTGATTTCTAGAACCTGGCACTGAAATAAGTACAGCTTCCATAAGACTTTCATGAAGTTCATATGCATTCAGTCAGACAGCTTGTTATCTGAACAAAAATCTTGACGCCTGCAACATGTCTGAGTTTCTATATTTTCATAAAGTTTTAGCAGAATCCCTTCCAAGTTAAACACCAACCAGTAGAAGATCTAAAATATATGGTAAGCTGCAAGTGTTATGAATGCATTGCATTTTCCTATCATTGTTATCTTTTGAAACTGCAATGATGAAGACAAACTTTATCCAAAGCCTTAGGAAATCATATGCCAATAAGCACTGGGATAGCTCATTAGCAGCCTATTTAATTTCATTAAAAAACTAGTGGCAAAATAACATTAGGAATAAACCTGAATTCATAATGTTTAATCATAAGCTTTTAAAAGCAAACTGTTTTTAGAAAAGCTTTTTATTACCTCTCAGGCTGGCTTTCATAAATCAGAAATATTTTTGTATGATAAAATTCTATCAACCCTACCACTAGATTTTCATCCTTTTCAGTTTCTTTCACTTAAACAAGCTATTAACAAAAAATAAAGTGTTTTTCTTTCCTCTTTGCTTTTAAACAGGATTTTTTGAGAGTGACAGTCATCTTCTACTATGCTTCCCTAGTCTTGATTTTTTTCCTCCCATTTCTATAAAAAATACACTATGTAAAAAAATAACACTTTTAAAGCATACATAAAATGCTGTATTTAAAGACATTTTCTTAAGACCTTTTCAACAGCCTTCACAAGAATTGTTTGTTGACCATAAATTCTATTCCAACATCCTTATTCATGAGGAATAGAAACAATGAACTCATGGAATATAGTACGGCTCAACTTTGAGTAAACTGAGGCAGATTCAAACCTTATACAATCAACAATCACAATATAATGTTGAATTTTCTAAACAATACACTTTAAAAAGGCTCCAAAGGTTTTTTATAAGACAGAGCTTGTACTGTAACAAGCTTTCTGAACACTGAAAAATTCCAACATACAAGAAGTGGCTGAATAAGTATCTGTCTTGGATGGCTTAGGAACAGTGCATGCTGCATCCATGCAGGAGGTTGGGGTTCATGACCCTTGGGGTCCTTTCCAACTTGATGATTCTAAAATCACCTACATCTAAGGTCTTGACTTTATTATTTAAATAGCATCCAATTTTGCATGTCATTTCAGGCAAGACTCGCAGAGCATCAATGCAAATTCCTTATAAGCTAAGGAACAAGGTATGCGTTAAAGAATAATTATCTTTCAATGCAAGCAGACTTGCCAAAGATCTGCAGCATGTTTAAGCATGCCTTCAAGTTCCATCAAACTTATTTGTGAACAAGCTTTGTTGAAAAAGGAATTAAAAGTTACACGTGTACTAATAATGGACTTTTCTAACTAGTGCACCTAACTAGTAGTGCTCTCATTAAAGCCAACAGGAAACTGCCACTGAAGACACACACCCACAAACACAGACACACAGAGTTCAAACTTTGTTGTACAGTATTACATTGCAGGATAGATGCAGTTGGGTCGTTTCATACTGCAGATTTCTGGCAGTAGCATCTGTATCCCTTTATGTTTGGTTTAAAACAGAAGCAAAAATGAGCCAGCTCACTGCCAATATATCAAAGTCCATTATCTTAAACCAGGGCTTGGCAACCTTTTAGGAGTGGCAGGATGAAGTAATGGAGTTAATTCAAAAGGTAGGTGTCTCACTACCAAATTGCCACCAATGTCCTGGCTTTGCAGGCTGAATTAAATCA